GACACAACATTACATTACTAAGTAGGACAATCAGATACTTTATTAATAAATAAATAACTAACCTTAACATATAATAACTAAAATATATTACTAATTTAGGCAAGGTACGAACATACTGGCAGCGTTCCCCCTTTGAATAGCTAGACTAATTCTTTGTCCGAGGTAGCTGCGAGATGTTCGGTCTCCTGTGATGTCGACTAACCTTTTTGATATTTCTTTAAAAAGCCTTAAAGCGCTAGGACCCCACGGACCAAGGGTCTCGACACCGAATGAGACAAAATCATATTCTGAGCCTAGACCCCTGTATTTGCATGCTTTAGCTTTTTCAGCCGCTTCACAAGCCGCACCAGCTCTGTTGTTGGTTCCATGTAGATGGGAAGGGGCCAACGTGTCTGAACTGGTTGCATCCCATACCAGTACCCGGCCCATCTTCCATGGAATCAAACTCATACCGTCCGGTATTTTGCCATCGTCTCTTGCAATACCACTCGGCTCAAGTAGACTTGGTACGTCGACGGTGGCAAGTGACCGGCGTATATCGTTAAGTGCGGCATGTCTCGAGAAGCGGCCTGCACTTTTTTGGCATGAAAGTTATCTTAATAATTCATACATAACTATTTTCTCGATACTTTGCGGAATGCTGCAAAGTTTACACCTAGAATAGCTTAAGCGTCAAGAATGCATCTAAAAATAGTGAGAAGTTTTATATGGAGCATATGCAAAGTTATGTAAATAAAAAGTTGAAGCAGTTATGACTGTAAAAAAGTATCCAAAATTATTCAATACATTTAAAAAAACTTGCCTGTATCTACCGAGGGGTCCAACACGGTTGGGTGCCTGCATATTGCACAACGACGTATTTAAAAAATTACGCCAAGGCTATCAAACTATTTAATTACCTTCCCAGAAGTTATAGATCACTGCCGTGTAATGCTTTTAAGGGGACGGTGATTACTTTAATATGAAAGAGTATTTATACCATAAGTTTTGACAACAATTCAAAGTCAAAAATCATAGGTAACACAATGTACACTTATGAACGTCAAAAAGAAATATACATTAAATGCTTCTAATTTTACATTTACTGCCAGTTCTCAAATCAAGGGCGTAGAACGGAAGAGAAGAACTGGCAATAAACTTACTAATATAAATAACTGATACTAATTATAAATAACTTAACCTGTTCTTATTAATAAATAATTAATATGACATTTGCAATTTTGCATGCTATTCTTATATGACTGATTGTGCGGGTTTTCTTTTATAACTAATCAATCGGAATGTACCATTTTCTTTGCAAATAAACTATTCATTATATAAATGGTACCATTTAGCATAGCTACGGGCATTATGCTTCACTTTTATTAGCATTTCATAATGTTAAGGGCTCAAGAAAAAATTTGAGGTATAACCGATTCACTTTTCGTGTATGTCGAGAGTCTGGGTACACACCGATATCCTGGTCAAGTCTGTGAGTCAGTGACTCGGTCATTTAAGACTGTAGAGGTGCGGTCGGTGCCGCGAAAAGACTTAATGCAGGCTGCATTAAGCGCAAGCAGTACCTATACCTTATATGTTGTGCACAGTACCTATGTTTAGATATGTAAGTTAAGGTGCAAATCTGTTGGCTGACCTTTTTCAAATAAATAAATATTGCCTAATTAAATAACACCATAAATGTCATATTTCGGTCATACAATTCCCAGAAGCGATGAGAACGAAGAGAAACCGATCGTGGTTGGTAACACAGAAGGCAAAAGATCGCAGCCGTTCACCAACCAGGTGGACTGATCAAGTGAAAGACTCATTGTCCTCGAAACTGCACTGTTTATAAGGGCGGGAGACAGAGTGTCAGCTCAGCGTTGCTGACCACGACGCTCAGACATGAGCTACCGACTAAAGAGAGAGAGAGTTGCTCCATCCAATTTTACCGTATCACCTCGAAGTCTATCTTTAAACAACTAAGCGCTTCATATGCTTTATGCCGATCCCTACCGCTTTATAGAATGTTCGTTATTTTGACTATATGTTTGCGTGTTGTTCCCACGAGAATGTAAGTGCGTGCTCCTATTTCACCATGCCTCCTGCTGATAGAGGACAAAGTCTTTGTTTTTAATTTATTTTATTATCATTAATTACTTAACATGGTGTAATTGTTGCAGCTCCTTACAAACGTTGTGTAAAAAAACACCATGGCGGTTAAAAAGAGTGGCGGAGAGTTTATTGCCAGTTCTTCTCTTCCGTTCTATGCCCTTTATTTGAGAACTGACACTAAATGTAAAGTTAGAAACATTTCATATACATTTCTTTTTTCATAAGTGTACATTGTGTTACCTATATAATTAAATGATTTTTACTTTTGCCCGTCGAGGTATTTCCAACGAAAATGACGTAGATCTCTTCTTCAGGGATTGCAAGTGGCCATGGGCATGTCTTAACTTCAGTTAAGCCTCCCCTTTTGCCCTGTTTAAAAAAATGTTAAACGGTTTCATTTTATTCGAAATATAGATCCTAGTTATAGTCTAGATTATATTATAGTTCTAGTTTCCGATATGATGCATAAAACATTGTTTTTCCTAGCACTAATGGCCACTAGACTAAAATAGATTAACGATGGCTCTCGAAAACTATTTTCTAGTTTTACTTGACCGATAACAATGGAGAAGTGTTCACCGCATGTTTCCATTATTTACTTAAAGATTAACTTATGATATCTAGGGTAAGGGGAAAATAGGCTAACATATAAATGAAAGAAAATACACTGCACTCAGAGACGTTTATTAAAAGTTAACGGTTGCTAAAGCCATTTATATAAAAATATTAAAAATTAACTAGCTAAGTTGCAGGTTCTATTAATTGTACTTAAATGACTCTGAGTAGTGATATTAGATAACTTAATCCATGCGAGTTACTCGCCTCTTTAAAGGTTCTTTTATATAAAATCTCAGTACATATCTTATTTTTTCATATATGTTTAGTAATCTATAATTTTCGTTACTAACTATTGCGTTAATTTGTCATAGTAATCATTATCAATTTAAAAATGTCAAGAAGATATAAAAATATCTAGTTAGGGACAGTTATCACCAATAAAATCTTTACGGCCTATTCCAATACATGCCAAATATACATAAAAAATTATAAAACCTTTTCGGAGACATGTGGTCTATAATATATTCCTATATATACATAGTATTCGCTATGTAAAATTCTACTGCAGCTGGTGTAAACACTTAAACACAAAAGGCTTTCAAAAGTTATATAATGTCCAAATCGTAAACATCAAAGGTTATAGCTTCCACACCCATACTAATAACATCGAAGTTGATAAAATATAAAAGCGCTCGGTACCGCATTGCAGGTACGCGTCGGATCAAGCCTCGAATCGATGGAAAAGTGCAATGCTTCTAATTACTCTAACAATTGTCTAATTCTGAAACCAGGATCAAAAATTTCACAGAAAGTTTCTTGTTTCTACCCTGAAATAACATAATAAACAGTCATTTATTTTTTTCAGGCCCTGAATATCTGTGAATGAAATTAAAAGCAACGTAATAGAGCCTTAATACGCTGTAACCGTAATAATTAAACGTCAAAAATCAAAATAAGAAAAAAAATTGTAATTGAAATTAAAAAAAAATGTTGTGGAAGTTTGTTAAAGAAGGGCAGGGAATATACAAGTATTTTTTAATATTTGTATAATGAACAAACACATTGTTATTTTATTTTAGTCGTGGCTAGTATTTCTTTGAGAGCAGTGTTGGCCTAGTGGCTTGAGCGTGCGAATCTCATCCCTGAGGTCGTAGGTTCGATCCCCGGCTGTGCACCAATGGACTTTCTTTCTATGTGCGAACGGTAAAGGAAAACATAGTGAGGAAATCGGCTTGCCTCAGACCTAAAAAGTCAACGGCGTGCGTCAAACACAGAAGGCTGATCTACTTGCCTATTAAATTACCAAATGATCATGTAACAGATACAGAAATCTGAGGCCGAGACCTAAAAAGGTTGTAGCGCCATTGATTTATTTATTTTATTTATTTGAGCTATAATATTATCAAGGAAATTATGTAAATTCATAAATATGTTGTTTATGAATTCCCTCCATATTTAGATATCTTCTTAAATACCACGTACGCCACGTGGTATTTTAGAAGAATTTCCGGAGAAATACTTATGGGTAAGGACGTGTCCCTACGTCCTTACCTTTATAAACCTTTTCCTAAATTACTAGTTTAATTGTATATCATGTATAGACTATAAAATATACCTTTTCATAAAAATAACACTAATCTCTGTCATATTTTGCGCATTTTATGTCATAACATTGTGAATTGACATGATAGTGTATGATGGATGCTGTTACAGAGAAATATTAAAAAAACGTATTAAACATAATGAAGCCCAGTATTTATTTGATATGTGAAGCAACGGTATATAACTTTATTTTAATGTGTTAAAAGCAATTTACAAAAAACCACAAGGGAGCAGTGTCAAATATTCTTGCAGATTCCATGCCGTGTTGGTAAAAGAAAGCCTAAATAAATACAATATTTCAAATTGTTTGTCTTAGACTTACTTGACTTAATGTCCTAAAACCCCTAGATGGGGCAGAAGACGTCCACACTGAGTCTCCATCGCGTTCGGTCTTGAACCTCGTATTTCACCTCGTTTCAAGTCTTTCCAGCTCTTTTTGCCTCGACTGCGACTGTACTGTTTGCTTGGGACGGTTATGGTTCCGCTTTCCTTGCGGGTTCCAATCAAGCGCCTGCTTGGGAATATGATTGGGATCCCTTCGGAGTGCATGGCCTATCCAATTCCATTTGCATCGCTTGCAGGCCAATCGGGGATTCTCGGCGTCATTGTCTTAGAGAGTATCTAAATAGTTTAGGTTTGGTTTTCTCGATCAAAGAAGATCAAAAGCGCCTTCTTAAAGATTTTTGTATGAAGTTCTACCTTACCTTAAAATACTTTTTTGTATTAACAGAGTTGCTGAGTCGAGAATGAGACGCGATGAATCTATAAAGAGCATATCAAGGTATTCTTCGCGCCGGCTGAGCGAACAACGCCCGGCGCTCACACTAGGCTTGCGGCAGAATTCGCTCACTATCAGCACACTTGCTCAGCAGGCCGCGTTCTTGGCTGAAAAGGCGAGGCAAACCGAAGTGTAAGTATATTATAATTAAGTAGGATGTGCACTTCGGATTTCCTATAGGATATGTACCAAAGCGGTTTCTGAAAAGAATAAATTAAAAAATTTCGAGCCTGGATACAATATGACTTTGAGTTAATCAATTTAACACCTTTTCTGTTGACGTTCATAAGTATACTTCGTTACCTATATGAATAAAGTTATTTTGAGTTTGAATTATACAAGTATTGTCTAATAGTGAGTGTGTTGACACACTAATACCGAAATCTACGATGCACAATGGCACATGTATATAGTTTTAGATAACCTAAGGTTTTTAATGACTCAAAACCCATCTCATATGAGAAAACAAATTGTACTGAATTCAAACTCAAAATATCTTTATTCATATAGGTAAACAAGTACACTGATGAACATCAGAGATGAAGTTAAATTAATTCTAAATTTACATTTACTACCAGTTCGCGTAGAGCGGGCAAGAAGAACTGGCAAGAAACTCTCCGCCACTCGTTTTGAACGCACACAGCTTATCGAGTCTAAGGCGGCGATCTATAAATCTGTCGTGAAGCAGTCTTTTATGATTTGGCCTTCTGAAAAGGTGGGAGCTTGTAGTTTATTGATTATTAGAATGCCAAATCATAAAATGACTGCTTTCACGACTGATTTGTGGGCGTCCGCCGATTTTTGCGAAAACCGCTGTGTGAGTTCGAAAAGTGAGTTACAGAATCCGGGCTGGCAAGAAACTCTCCGCCACTCGTTTTAATCGCTAAGTTTCGAGTCATACAAATTATTGTTTGAACTGGACATTAAATGCTACAATTTTTATATGTAGGGACCGGTGGCGAATTTATAAATTTTCAAGGAGAGGCTGTGAAGTTTTTGCCGCCCTCGCTCTAAAATTGTGATGTCCTAGATTATGTTTGCAATCCAACAAATTCGTTGACATTGCACGTAACATAATTTTTGGGTTTGATTTTTTAGCAAAAAATTATACAGTAGAGTATTGTAAGTTGATAGGGGGAAGAGGGTAATACATTTTCGGCAATTTCGCTCTCGTCACTTATATAAAGTATGAGCTTAGGGCGCAGAGGTGGATTACTGGATGGGGGGCAGCGAACTAGCTGTTTTACTCTAGAATATGGAAGTTTGCTACACCAAATGTACAATGACAAGTGAGAGGAGAGTCATCGGAAAAATTTGTTGCAAAAAAAAAAAAAAAAAATTTTTTTTTTTAAAAAAAAATCCCCCCAAATTTCCCCCCAAAAAAAAAAACCACCTTAAAACCCCCCCCCCTTAGAGAAAAAATTTTAAAAAAAAATTTAAAAATTTTTTTTTTTTTTTTTTCCCTTTAACTTTTTTAAAAAAAAAAAGCGGTTTTTTTTTTAAAATATTTCCTTTTTTTAAAAAAAAATTTTATTTTAAAAAACTTCTGTCGAAGTGGGGAGAAATTGGCTGTGCCAAAAATTAATCTGGAATTGTATGGGAAATACACCTTTTGTATGGCAATCAAGGTATATAATAATTTGCCAAAAACATTAAAAGGTCTTACTACTAGAGTTTTTAAAAATCGACTTTGGAAAAAATATATTATTCTGTTAATAATTATTTGCGTGAGAAATTATAATATTAATTTGATAACGTAATAATATTTTTTAATAATATGATATTAATCACTACAAATAATATACAAATTGCCTCTTATGTACGTATATATGACTCATAATGTATGTAACTTTTATGTATTATTCCTTTTAATACAAATTTGCACGCCATAATGTGTGGCAGAATATGCGAACTTTAGATTGCTCTACCATAACATGAGTACCATATTCTTGCAAACAAATTATGATTATTACACATATGAAGGTAATTTAATTCTTATTAGTTTATTAACAATCTTAACCAACTTAATATTAAACAGGTAAAAAGAAAACAAAATAAATAAAAAAAATTGTTCCCTAACCATATGCTGGTTATATTTTTTCTGTGTTAAGTAATCCGATGTTTGTTTAGCTGCACAAGGACGTTGAAAAGCTATGGAAAAGGCTTACAGAATACGGTATGCACGAAGCTCCGCTTAGCTTGCATCTTAGACAGTCATGTATAGAACTTAATTGGCGATTACTAAACCTTGTTTAGGTGGACTGGCAATATCTGGCTTTTAGATTTTGTTTATCGCTTCAATTTAAAATTCATTTTTTCTAAATAATTGCTTTACGTAGAAGAAATAACTTAGCAGGAGGAAATATAGACGTATCTTACACTTGTTACAATCTTAGGCGGTCTTGGTAAATTTTCTCATCATTCATAAATCTTCAATGCAATTCTTTGTCCTCATAGTATATTTGGCCCTGGCCATTTCAACTCCCGATCATAACAATTTCCTGGTTTGCTCATTTTATTATATTTAGTTTCCGCGTAACTGTAATTAAAAATTAAATTTGTATATAGGCTATGTATTTTATTCATGTAAAGTCAGTCCATCAAAAGCAAGGGTTAGTATTTGCGAGCGGGGTCTTTTATTCATTACTTATGTTGATACTTATTTTCAGTGGGGACCCTAATCAACAAGCGGCACCTAGTTCTTGGTGGAACCTAGTAAGTAAATCCTTTTATTAAAGTCAAAAGTCAAAAATAATTTATTCATATAGGTAACACTATGTACACTTATGAACGTCAAAAAAGAAATATACATTAAATGCTTCTAATTTTACATTTACTGCCAGTTCTCAAATCAAGGGCGTAGAACGGAAGAGAAGAAGAATTTTTGCTTTACACAATGTAAGGAGCTGCAGCCATTACACCATGATCCACGTGACATCTTAAGTAATAAATAATAAGAAAATAAATTAAAAACAAAGATTGGTCCTCTATCAGAAGGATGCATGGTGAAATAGGAGCACGCACTTACCTTCTCGTAGGAACAACAATATATAAATTATAAGTATTATAAAACATGATTTACTTAATACTTTAAACTTCATTTAATTTAAAACTTTCAAGTTAACATTTATTTATTATTTAAAAAATTCTGTGGCGCTGCAAGCTTTTTAGGTCTGGGCATCGGATTTCTCCATCTGTTTCATGGTCATTTGTTAATCTCATAGGCAAATAGGCGATCAGCCTCCTGTGCTTGACACACGCCGTCGAATTTATGGGTCCAAGGCAAGCCGGTTTTCTCACGATGTTTTCTTTCACCGTTTGAGCGAATGTTAAATGCGCACATAGAAAGTCCATTGGTGCTCAGCCGGGGATCGACCTACGACCTCAGGGATGAGCTACACTGAACACTCTCACTCTTTACTTAAATATATTATTATCGACTTCAGCGCAAGTCTCTCATCCCTGAGCACATAGGTTCGATCCCCGGCTGTGCAGCAATAGAATTTTATATATACGAATCTACCACTCGCTGGTACGTTCAAGGAAAACATCGTGAGGACACCAGCATGTCACAAATCCAAGAATATAATAGTCTATTGAATATAAATGATCAAAGGAACAGATCTAATCTGCCAAGGGTAAAGGGTAGCGTTGGATAATTATTATTGCAAGGCCAAAATGTCAAATTTGGCTGAGTCAATAGAGAGAAAATATTTTTTATAACTGTGGCAAAAACAGATGACAGGTTTGACAACATTCTTATTTATTTATTTATTTACACTTCGTTACCCTATACAAAAAAAAATATAAGTTACGGCAAACAACAACAACGGCAACGGGTGGCCTTTTCGCTAACAAGCGATTTCTTGCAAGCAATCCTAATATGGAACAATAAAAAAGAAACACATACAGAGGGTAAAGTACAAGAAGTGCATAAATAACAAAAAAGAACACAAAATAACATGTAACACTATAACTAAAAAAAAGTAAATAAAAATTATATTCTTCTTTTTCCCTTAGACAAAGTTTTATAAATTCCTTGGTTAGACTGAAACGAAAATTTATAATTTTATTTTTACTTATTTATTTATATAGAACACTCCCTAACAGGCGACCCTAAATTGACAAGCGTGAACAATAAGTGAATAAAATTTACATACGAAACAAAAAATGCAAACATAAAATTAATTAGGAAAAACAATTACATAACAAAAAATACAAATCTTAACTACACTACTATAGGCACTAACAAATAATAGAACTTTTACCAGTTCACTCAACGGTAAATGAAAAAGGTCCTATGTAATTTGTTAACTAAATTAATACACCGAATCATATGTGCCCTTTTCAGAAGGTTAGTCCTAGCTGTGGGCACATGAAGTAACGGCGGACGAAGTACTCATCAGGCACAGAAACTATGTCACTGTAGTACTGGCGAATTACTGTCCTTGCCATGTAACAATTTTATGAATTACATCACAAGCGCGAATTCTCGGCGTACTCTAAGCTCGTTGTAGTCCACAGAACCAATAATAAATAAGGTCGGATACATGATTGGGTAAAAAGGGTACACACCGTACATCCTAAGATGTGCCTAAAAATTTGTTTTGTACCCGCTCCAACATCACCTAATATTGTTACGTGTCTCAAATTAATTATGTTAGTAAAAATAATTTCAATTTACCCTTCAGTTTAGATTCGCGAAACCATGGGAGCTACTCGTACTCCTACTGGGACTAATTCTCGCCACATTCAATGGCCTGATGGTGCCAGTTGGGGTGATAGTGTATGGCGAATTTACGTCGCTACTAATCGACCGGACTGTTATGACTGGGACGTCTACCCCGGTTCTTTGCATCGCGTGGTTTGGTGGGGGGCGGTCACTGTAAGTAATGACATATTTGCATTAATTTTTTTAACAGATTGCATCGGATTTACAACTCCATGGAGACCTTTCAAAAACCGTGCCGTGTTAATTATTTGTTATTATTATTATTTTCTTCATACCTACATAATTATGTATACATGTCGCTACTAGCTTCATTAGACGTTCAATTTAAAGCCCAACCTTTTAACTAAACGTCGCCGTGCGGCCTGAAAGATGTTCTGGAAGCTATGACAGCTAGGCAAATCTCGATGACGTTTCTTTAGTTATCTAGCCTGTTGACTGTTAATTTAAATTTAATTCCAGATTCTGCTATCTCAAACTCGAAACAACACTCTTCAAATATGACATATGACATCATAAACTTTGACTAGAAAAAGTCTTTAAACAATTTCGTCTTCGAAACACTTAAGTGTCTAAACTATAGTTCAGCGACTAACTTCATTTTGTAAAACCTAACATAACCTTTAGGTTACAAACCAAGGTCTTTTTTAAAAGACCTTGGTTTGTAAGCGCTAAAAAACATTATTTCACTTATTACAAATTACACGTATTCCAATGATTCCAGGACGAATGCGACAGCGGAAGAGAATCGCCTAGCGTTGATTGAGGATTCCGCTGCATTTGGCCTCGGCTGCTTCGTCTTCTCAGTTATACAGTTTATCGTTGGTGCCCTTAGCGTCGACCTGTTCAACTATACCGCTCTTAAACAGGTAACTCTTAAACATTAATAATACACAGCCTTTATTTTAAAGAATCCAGTGTACTTGCCAATTTTGCGGCAACAGATGTCGTTAATACTAAATTATTTGAATAGAATCATAATATTCTTACGTATATGTTTGCCAGGGCAAGATTTAGAGGTCTGGATCTCGGGGCAACAAAGGCGTAGATTCTTTTAGTATTTTAAGAAACATAAAAATATATCAAAAGAAAAGTTGTTTATTGAAGTGAAGTAAAGTTTAGAATCGTTGTGATTTCAAACCGGATGCAACGAAAAAAGGGACAGTAAAAATATACAGAGAAATAAATTCATAAGATTTAACGTGGGAGAAAATGAGATAGGATGCATTATACAGTGTTTAAGAGCGGGAAAAATCACTAATTGTACATTTGATTTTGTCTAAGTACCTATGTGATGATTGAATTAAAAACAATAAATATTCATGCTTCACTATAATTTCAATGGTTGACTCTAATTAAAAACAAAATACAATAAAAAAATCCTCGATACAATAAAATCACTAAGAGACCCCTTTGGTCTTACAGCACATTAGTTTGGCTGAAAGCTGTTACTAGCGATTTTATTAAATATTGTAAATTTTACGAGTTATTTAAATAAAAAGCATTGGGTGTTTTCTTCATTTTTGTTCCGCGAAACAGTATCTTGCATCTCATCTTACGCCAACATCAGACATATTATGTTTCTTTCACTAGTCACCAAAGCGGACGGAGGGAGACGCGAGAATCAATGGAGACTGGTATAAGCGTTTTTACGTTTAAATTCGATGATGATTTCCTATTAAGCAAATTCATATAATAGTTAGCAATATTATAGATAATGTTTCAACAAAAATATAATTTTCACAGATCAATAGGCTAAAAGAATGCTTCTTAAAAGCGATAATCCGTCAAGATATCACCTGGTACGACTTGAACCAGACTATGAACTTTGCTACGAAAGTATCCGAGTAAGTTTTTTTTGTATTGAATCTTTAACTTATTTTTTGCATCTATATAGATATTTTTAGACAATTAGTTGATAGCTATTTTTTATAAGTAAGCGGTATTGATGCCCCGAAAGTTAGCAATTCGACTTAGGGTCTTTCAAGAAATTAGAGCGTACCTATTCAAGGCAACGCACTTGCGAAACTTCTGGCAATGTCCGTGGGCGGCACTATCACTTAACATCAGATGAGCCTCCTGCCTGTTTGCCTCCTGTTACATAAAAGAACTGGAGAAATTCATAACATCCGCATCACCTCGACGTCCGTCGTTCCACAACTGAGCGTTTCTTAAGGCAATTCTTAACGCTAACCACCACTATGTGGAACCAGTTGCCCACTGAAGTATTTCTGAACCAATTCGTCTTATGGTTATTTAAGAAAAGAGCGTGTCATTTCTTAAAAGGCTGGCAACGCACTTGCTTGCCTCCGGGCAATGTGAGTGTCCATGGGTGGGTCACTTAACATTAGGTAAGCCTCCCGGTACATAAAAAATTAAAAAACCATATAATAAATTTAATTAGTGTTATGGATCAATCTGTCGAGTTCTTAGTAAAGAATTTGGCATATCATTTTACTTATCACTGTAGGTATAAAAGAAAATCTAAAATGTGTTAAAATATTCAGTGACGTGGAGAAATATCGGGAGGGTATTAGCGAGAAAGTTCCAATGCTGGTGTACCTAATAATGTCATTTGTCACCGCTGTCCTCATATCCTTCGCGTACGGCTGGGAGTTGACACTTGTCATTCTGTCATGTGCACCTGTCATTATTGCTACTACAGCTGTCGTGGCGAAGGTAAGAAGAAAATTTAATGTTTCAAAATTATTTTTTCGCATACTTAAATTTCGTAATAAATAAATCAGTATCCAGCATTTATTTTTGGATTTCAGATTTGTAGGTTTCACAAACAATTGTTTTCTATAATAGGCAAGAAGGTGATCAGCCTTTTGTTTGTGTGTGTGTGTGTGTGTGTGTGATTACCAGCACACGCCGTCAACTTTTTTATTCTTATTCCATCTTCCTCACGACGTGTTCCTCCTTTATTGTACGAGTCAGTTTAATACTTTTCACTAAAGATCATTTAGTCTAAGTATAAGCTATGATTAAAAGCAGTGTTGTCCAAGTGGCTTCAGCGTCCGGTCATAGGTTTGAATCCCGGCTGTGCACCAATGGACGTTCTTTTTATGTGCGCATTAACACCCCCAAAACAAAAAAAAAAAAAAAAAAAAAACTTCCCTTCCCCCCCCCCCCAAAAACCAACCCCACCATAAAAAAAAAAAAAAATTAAAAAAAAAAAATATTTTTTAAAATAATTATGTTTCTTCGCCTTTTTTTTTTTTTAAATTAATTATCTAAATAAAAAAAAAAAAAAAAAATAACCCCCAATAAAAATTTTTGGAATTTCCAGAAAAAAAAAAAAAAAAAAAAATATTAAAAAAAACCAAACCTCCCAAAAAAAAAAGAAAAGCCCCCCCCCCTTTTTTAAAAAATAATACAAAAAACATAATTTTTATTAAAAACATCCCCCGAATTTTTATAAAAAAAAAAATCTGTGTGGAAAGAAATCTTTGTTGTCATTAAAGTTCGACAGTAATCTTGATACAATATTTGTAATTAAACGAAATTATTTAATTATTTCAACACGCCGCGTGGTGTCTTTCCGCACAGATTCAGTCCTTGCTTGAACTATTATATTTTTTAGATACAATCATCGTTGACCACGCAAGAGCTTAAAGCTTATAGTATAGCCGGTGTTATAGCAGAAGAGGTACTTTCTTCTATTCGTACGGTCATCGCGTTTGGGGGAGAGGAGAAGGAAATAAGCAGGTAAGAACTTCATGGCTTAGTGCTAAGCGTATTTGCCGTCAAGAGGCCTTGGGACTTCTGGCATAAAAACTATTATGACGGGCTGGTTTGAACCAACCCATGCACTAAATTTGCTATTGGCTTTATACTAAAGCACCATATGTTGCGAAGCTGGTGGTGACTCATTTCCCCCCTTGGGTCTGGGGTTCCCCCCTGCTGGGAAACCGGGTCCCGGGTTCGATCCGCGGCTTAGACGAACATGGGAGAGCAATTGGTGTTGTGCTAAGCGTCTTGGGTGTTTAAATTTTTTTTGTCTATTTTCTATAAAATGTATGTATATCCATTGCCTAGTACCCAACCAAGTCCCCCAGCTTAGCATGGGACTAGGTCAATTCGTGTGAATTGTAAAAAAAAAAAAGACCGGACTTAACACAAACCGTGAAGCGTATTCAGTATTCGTATTGAGACCGGAAACACCACCGTAAGCCTCATGGCGTTATAGGTTTCCATGGCGGCAGCAAACACTTCTTTCTAAGTGATCCGGCATTAGTAAAATAAGTAGAAATAAATGAATAGCCTTAATTTCTACTGAATTAAACGATATCTGTTAAAACTAATCTTCAGTAGTTTTCTACGTAGGCCTCCCCTAAACCAACCCATTCCATGCTATTTCTGGTCAACCTCTTCTACCCTGAGCCCCATCTCTGTGCTAATGTATTTCTCCTCTTTGGTTCTCTATTTCCTTTTTTTACGCATCTTAAATTTTGACTTTTAAGAAATAAGAAGTTCATCCAGGCTTAAGTTGTCATCTTTATTGGTTTAGCTAAAAAATGTCTAAATTACATTATTCTAATAAACAATATAGGTATTTAACTTAATTATATTAATTCAAAACTAGACAGCCTCAGACTGTGTAATTTACGTCCTTTTAAATATATTAAATACTCTATATATTGCTTATATACTGCTCAAAACAATTAGCGGAACAAGATTTTTCTCCTTTCTATTGCTTAGTTGACGATGTAGCGATCTTGCAAACGTGTAGTTTTTCTCTTTCGACCTTGACCACGCCTTCGTGAGTATTCTCCCGTCTCACGGTATCGCTTCCAAAGTCTGTAGATAACGGAAGGGGCTACTCCTAGATCATTTCTTACATAACGCATAGTTCGACCCTCTTCAAGCAAAGCGATAGCTCGGGAGACATGCAATTGAGTCAGATCTGGCATTATGACCTAAACTCACTCGCTTCAATAGATAACAATACTCAAAAGGCTCACTTCAATTTCTATTAATACTCAAAAGATTGAAAAAAACTACTTAAAATGTGTTTTCTGTGATTAGAAAGTAATGAAAATTCAAAGACGTCACTTTGTTTTTCGTCTACAATGCACATTTTAATTTTTTTTTAATAAAAAAAATACAAATTGATTTTTTTTATTAATTGTAGTAATTAACAAATTAACAAGGTAAAAAATAGCGTACAAGTTAATTTAAATCTAATTTTAGTTTAAGCAATAGAAAGGAGAAAAATCTTGTTCCGCTAATTGTTTTGAGCAGTATATAATCATTGTATTTTTTATACATAATAATAATTTGTAAGATAAAGCATAAGTAGGCTAGCATCAGCGCCAATGTAATAAACTAACTAATTTCAGGTATTCACAACGGTTAGAACCCGCGAAGAAAATGGGGGTACGAAAGGGTATATTCTCTGGGATCGGGAGCGGTGTGATGTGGTTCATTATATATGCGACGTATGCACTCTCCTTTTGGTACGGAGTCGGTTTGATATTGGAGAGTAGACATGAAGAAAATCCAGTGTATACACCCGCAGTGTTAATGATTGTAAGTGACATTTTATTTATTTGACACGTTGCAAAAATAATATTTATTTATTTATTATTTTAACTAAAGTATGAGCATTGTTGGCGTGCGACTCTCATCCCTCAGGTCATAGATTCGATCCCCGGCTGTGCACCAACAGACTGTCTGTCTATAGTATGTACGCATTTGGCATTCGCCGAACGGTGAAGGAAACCATCAAGAGGAAACCAGCTTGCCTGAGACCCAAAAAGTCGACGGCGTGTGTCAGGCATAGGAGGCTGATCTCCTATTTGCCTATTAGATTGACAAATTATCATGAGAATGATACAGAAATCTGAGGGCCAGACCTAAAAATGTTTTAGCGCCACTATTTTATTTATTATTATTTATTTTATTTATAAGGTTTAATTTAACCAATAATACTTCACAAAGTCGAGCTCGAACATAACATATTAAAAACTTAGTAAACGTGACGATTTAGATAAGAGAAAGTTAAGAAAAATTACCTGTGTCTTACACAGTGGCGTAGCTACCAAGGAGCTAGGCGGGGCAGTGCCCCGGGGCCCTCAAGCTCAGGGGGCCCTCGAATCCTCACCAGAAATCTCGATCGTTCTGAACTTTTGGAAATTTCTCCCATTTTCAAAATAAATATGACAGGTTGCAACCCCACTTTAATCAAGCATTAATTTGAGAGAAATTCAAAAGTTATGCCTAGGGAATTTCCCTAAATTCTTTCTGTAGGTTGGCAGTGTCACCAATTTGACGGATAGTGATATGTGCATTTTATTATTCATCGATGTGCATTTTATTGTGAATTCGAGTTTTTTTTGAGAACGTTTAAAAAATTCATTCTGTATCAGGAGTAAGTAAGCTAATGTCAATAAACTTTTTTGTACTGGTCAATATAGTGATTCAATTTTATTTGATTTTACCACTCATATTGATGTCCGGTAAAGTCAATAAATCGTGTCAAATCTAAAGATTTCGGCTACAGCTCATTGTACTGGGTGGCGCAAAAGTACTGGCACTAAAGAAAATTTGTTTATTTTTTTTATATGACATTTCCTGTCATTCTGTAGTTGAAAATTGTGTAGTGAACAAATGTAAAATACACTGAAAATAAACATGGACCGTTTTAATCCCCAAGAACGTGGAATAATCGTGTCAATGTTCTTACGGAAAATCTTTAAGTCTTTCACCAAAATACGCTGCAGGGTCCGTCTGGAAATGCCCAATTGCGTGGCACGTCGCCTCGTTGATGTTTCTGGACACTCTTCCACATCTTCGCGCACAGCATCGATATTTTCAACTGAACGGCCTGTTCTTGGTCTCCCAGACTTAGGTCTATCCAATGTTGAGCCAGTTGCTTCAAGGCGTGCAAAGCGTCGGATTGTGCGACCGGTGCCGGACGGTGGAGAAATCGTCGACGAAATTCACGTTGTGTTTTTATCACTGATGAATTATTCCGTAAGAACATTGACACGATTATTCCACGTTTTTGGGGAGTAAAACGGTCCATGTTTATTTTCAGTGTATTTTACATTCGTTTACTACAGAATTTTCAACAACAGAATGACAGGAAATGTCATAAAAAAAATAAACAAATTTTCTTTAGTGCCAGTACTTGTGGGGCACCCAGTATAACGCGAATTAGAGAGCAATTGAAAACAAAACCGCATCAAGCCTGGATTTAAACGAAGTCATTGATACTTTTGCGAAAACTAAAGCTAGGAAAAAATTGTTATTTAGTCAGTTGGTAGGCCCGATCTTTATACATAAATAAACCCTGGAATCTTCTGGTTCCAGGTTTGGCGAATAAAATTTCACTTTATTCGCCAAACCTACACCAAGTATTAATTGTAATTTATGTTGTTACTGTTTAATATTTTTATTACCTGCCCTGCACAAATAAGAGCTTACGTAGCTTAGAATGTTTAAAGTATTTGTATATATCATATTTTTATTTGATAAAACATAATCAGTTTACATAGCAGTGGGGCCCCATTTTTTAATTTGCCCCAGGGCCCTTGGTCACCTAGCTACGCCACTGGTCTTACATGTACCAAAGCATAGCAAAAAAATTATTTACAGATATTCTTCAGCGTGCTCCAAGGCGCTCAGAATGTTGGACTCACAGCCCCACATTTAGAAGCAATGACGAATGCTAGAGCATCTGCGGGATCCATTTTCGCTGTCCTCGACCGGAAGCCCGCGATTGACAGCTTGTCGACGGAAGGTAGCCGACCGGAACTGAATGGTGATCTGGAACTGAATAACGTGTACTTCAAATATCCAGCTCGGGCGGATGTACAGGTATTTTTTACATCATCCAAATTTTAATATATTTCGCTAATAATAACATATTATAAAAATAACTTATTTATTAACACTTTATTGTACAATTAAAAAATATTTGCAAAAAAAGACAATAGGCGGATATATTTTGACCATAAGTTTTGACAACAATTATAAATAACTTAACTTTTCTTATTATTATGACATTATAATAATTAGTTTGACATTAGCATGCCTATTTTTATATGTCTGATTGTTAGGTTTTTTTATAATTAAACAATCTGAATGTTCTTTTCAAATAAACGATTTATTATAATTAAGTATTATCGTCATCAAATGAGTGCAAATATATGTTTTTTCCGAATGTATAATAATTCAATGAAATTCATAAAAGTACCCAATAGTTCAATGTTTTCGTATGACGTTATCACGTTAAATTATGGACCATAATCCGACTTAAAAGACACCCAAATTTTACTTAATAATTCCTCTTCTATAGGTGTTAAACGGTTTAAATCTTAAAATCAACCGCAACGAAACAGTGGCCCTTGTGGGGTCTAGTGGTAGCGGTAAATCCACAGTTCTACAGCTCCTACAGCGAATGTATGACCCGGAATCGGGTTCTGTGACCGCGTCGGGGCACGATCTGAGGAATATTAACGTGAGACATTACCGTGACCACATCGCCGTGGTGGGGCAGGAGCCTGTGTTGTTTGCTGGATCGATAAAGGAGAATATACGGTGAGTGGATCAGACTTATCGTCAGACCACTTTCCGGGCGGTTTGATTCTTTAGTGTTGGGTGATGTCTCTCAGCATCGTCTACCGCATTTCGCATGGAGTTGTTCGGATTAATACCTGCAGCTGAGTTTCATCATCGGGTGTCGAGGAAGAATACGAAATTCCACCCGTATCACCTCGACGTCCGCCGTTCCACAAATGAGCGTTTCTTAAGGCAGTTTTTGTCCCGCACCACCACTATGTTGAACCAGCTGCCTGCTGAAGTATATCCGAACTAGCTCGATATAGGGTTTTTCAAGAAAAGAGCGTACTAATTCTTAAAAGGCCGGGATCGCACTCGCGAACTCTTTGGCATCGAGTGCCAGTTTGCCCCGTTTTATACAAAACATAAAAAATGCTTAATTTATTATAATTTCAATCAAATATCACTTAAAAGATGATTTTGTAATTATATCTTTGACTTTATAGTTTCATCCTTAGATATAAATATATTTTAAATTTTGTTAATAAAATTATTCAGTATAAGCTTTAATAGTTAATAATGTTTTTTAGGATGAGTAATCCATCATGTACAGATCAAGAAATTATTATAGCCGCAAAACAAGCTTATTGCCATAGCTTCATTAAGAATTTACCTGAAGTAAGTATCTTTATATTGCAAATGTGCTTCATTTAAAACGTCTATGATATCGTATTATAAGTTACATTTATAATAAATGTAACATTGAAATTTAGTGAAATCACCACAGTTTTATTTATATTCTTTTTTCAGTTTTTTTTATCGATTTAGCAACATGTTTTTAGCATAACCCATCTCCTGAACCTGCGTATTAAACATATATGTATATAATATTATATAAATATTTTTTCAACTTTAGGGCTATGAAACCATGATAGGTGAGCGCGGTGCCCAACTATCGGGGGGTCAAAAGCAACGTATAGCCATTGCAAGGGCATTGGTACGAAAGCCCAAAATATTGATTTTGGACGAGGCAACTTCAGCTTTAGATTCTCACAGTGAAGCCAAAGTACAGATGGCTTTGGATTCTGCTGCCCATGGAAGGACCACCATCATGGTGAGCCACAGGTACAATTAAAAGCAAATAGATATTTCTAGGAAATTCAAAAATAAAACTAGATATGTAAATAGGTCTAATTATCACATTTATGGCCTTTTTTGGTTTTCGTCTCTTACGGCTCAATTGTTTTTTATGTAGCTCGATTGATAGTCAAATACCGACTTATAAAACCTAACCTCTTTTAATTTCTCTTGTTTTTACGGCAATAAACTGGTCAATATTCTTATATTAGTTTTTAAAATTTACACCAAACCAGTTTTATTGTTATTAATTGCAAAAGAGACTTAAGACATTAACTCTGTTCAGGTTAGCGACTGTATTAAACGCAAATCGTATAGTTTTCATCGAAAAGGGCGAGGTGATTGAAGAAGGTACACACGAGGAACTTCTAGAATTGAAGGGACGGTACTATCAACTGGTTCTACAGAATGAACCGAGTATTGCTCCCAGTGGTAATGAGGGCGGTTCACAGAAACGTAAGTGAAAGTTGATAAAATTGCCATCTTCCTTATTATTTGTGCACCGATCCTTAGCTCCCTAGAAATCCTTGAATCCACTCTCAAACATACAGCTCAAGCGTACAGAGTTAAAACGAACTTGAGACATAAAAGATGTTTTCAGAATATTTAGAGTTTGCTGTAGATTTTTTTAGGAAACCAGACTCGCTCACTGGTTATGTGTGACTATATAAACCTGATGAATAGGACCGAATCTTCCTCGCACCGCTATCCTATTCCCCAAAGGAACAGTCGACCTTCCTTCGATGGCACACATGGCTTTCTCCAGGTTTTCGTAAGACTAACATGACCCTAATTTGCAGCAGCTAACTTTGATCCCACCGCAGATACGAAGTTTCGTAGAGTGAAACTCCAGAAGTTGGAATCAGTGGATTCCATCAAAAGTTCATCAGCAGAAGAGGATGATACAATCTCTGAGGACAGCGTAGTTGTAGAAAATGAAAAGGTGGGGGAATTCGAACCTACCACCTGGCAGATACTAAAACTGTGTGAACCGGAAAAATGGTGGATGATGATGGGTATTGGGGCAGCGGTGGCTGTTGGTTCCTCTTTTCCCTGCTTCGCTGTGCTCTTTGGTGAAACATATGGTGTGAGTATATTGAATGTTTGTTTGTGACAACATTTTCAGCTTTAACTATTAGAATACTCATCATATTTTGGTTGTAAGATATGCCGGGTTCCTCACGACTAGGGTTATATTAAAATAAATAAATTGAATTGGGTTTCAAACGCCTGATCTCAGATTTAAGAAAGCACGCTCACACTGCTTTACATTACCATATAGAAATCTTCCATATTAAAATATAGAACAAGCTATTGATTGAATATGTCATGGTAGGTCTTACTTAACTATATAAATCCCAAAAATTAAAAATTAATATTGGTTGTATGTAATATATTCATATTAATCATAAAAGCCTTTTGATCAGCCTTGCGATTCTGTAACTCACTTTTATCAGAATGCCAAATCGTAAAATGACTGCTTCACGACTGATTTGAGCGCGACTGCCGCTGCGAAAAACGCAGTGAGAGTTCGAAAAGTGAGTTACAGAATTGCAAGGCAAATACTATTCATTTATTAAACACATTATATTATATTACATTTAAACACGTTTATTTATATTTCAATTTTATTTTAGGTATGTGGGCACTTTTTGGCCACTACAAATCCCGCTATTCCTCTTTGCACTGTACCACTCTTTGCCATGTACCACCTGCGCTTTCTTTTACTAGTAATATCTAATTGTACGTCATATTTATGATGTTCTTTGAATTTTTAGTTACTGGAGAGCAAAGATGAGGACTATGTACGCTCAGGGACAAACTTGATAGCGGTATTGTTCCTAGTGGTTGGCGTGTACACGGGCATCGGTATATTCTTCCAAATATTCATATTCAATTTAACTGGTGTTAGACTCACAGAGAGGCTCAGGTAATTTCTTTATTTTTTTTTCTTTTCATATATGTGTTTTGATTTTATGTAGGGGGAATACGAATGGGAATATTTTTACATATTTTCAGTTAGCGGTATATTTATAATTTCTTGGTTTAGCACACAAGAAAATTTTGGGATTATTTCAGAATATATGGTAAATCGTTTATAAGCGTCCTTTAAATGTTACCTTATTGCTAAAAATAAATGATATTACAGTGTTTTAGGCGTATACCACAATTTAATTACCTAATTTATTTTTTTAAATCGTCAAGTTAAATCGTAATCGTAAATAAAAACTACCTCGTCACTGGTGACTACCACGTATTACTTGCTCAAAGAGAATTTTTATTAACCTGCCCTGCGATTCTGTAACTCACTTTTCGAACTCACACAGCGGTTTTCGCATCGGCGGTCGCTCTCAAATCAGTGGTGAAGCAGTCATTTTAAGATTTGGCATTCTGAAAAGGTGGGAGCTTGTAGTTTATTGTTTATCACTGATTTGAGAGCGACCGTCGATGCGAAAACCGCTGTGTGAGTTCAAAAGTGAGTTACAGAATCGCAAGGCTGGGGTAGGTACGGAGTGTGGTTTTCTATGGCAGTTGGATATGGTATTTTAAATAGATCTTTAACTCTTCCCACGAGTATCAACGAGTTATTACGAAGAAGAAAACGAGGGTTATTCAAATATGATTCAATTGTTTAAGAATCGAATCTGTCGCTTGTCCCTTTTCGTCGCAGCATGAATAGGTACAATTCGAGAGAAAGAGACGAATGAGTTGGTTACACTGTAAGAATAGAGAATAAGTTGTTTTTTTAATAAGGTGATTAGCATCCTAGATTAACTACTGGTGCTCAATAAAACCCGTGTGTGTACAGAATCGGTGCGTTCAGAGCGATGTTACGACAAGAGATGGGTTGGTTTGACAATCCGTTGAACGGGGTTGGAGCACTCTGCGGACGTCTTGCTGCTGATGCTGCAGCTGTTCAAGGGGTATGTTCTATTGTGCAAATTTTTTATTTAATAATTTCACGTTGCTTATTGCCATTTCACTATTTGTTGTTATCTTTTATAATTCTTTACATTTAAATTACATTTTAGTTAAATTAAATGACAATTTATTTAATTTAAATTACATTTACTTAATTTAAATTACATTTTCATTAGTTTAAATGACATTTTAATCTTGAGATTTTCCTACTTCGAAGTCTGTAACCACTCACAACGTACTCAAAAGTAGGGAGATGCTCAGCCATCTTTGTCCACCAACCCCAGTGGCTATTTTGGCGTAATCTTACCCAGGACCGTAGAACGCCCCTATCTCAACCACCATTTTACAACCTCGGTTTTAACAGCTAATAATGTACATTGCCCCAGTACGATGTAGTACTATTCATTTACACGCTATTTATATTTTAAAAAAATATATACATTTCCTTATAGGTACATTTAACGTTATAATATTTATCTTTGATTTCGTTATATAAAATTTTAGGCAACAGGTACCCGTATCGGCGCTTTAATGCAAGCATCTGCGACAATTTTCATTGGAATCAGTCTCTCCATGTACTACACATGGCAGATGACCCTGGTATCCCTGGTCTCCGTGCCAATGGTCATCATTGCCGTTGTCTTGGAGAGTAGAGTCCTGGCTGAGGGCATAGCGACAGTGCGAGAGGCTTCTAATAGAGCGAACACCATTGCTACTGAGGCGATAACGAATATACGAACTGTGTCTGCCTTTTGTGAGTTTTTTTGATATACATAATAATCAATCGTTTATTACAACCTGAACATAGCAATCAAATATACAGTATTCACAATTTTCTTGACCATACGTACATTGATACATAGTATCTAATATAAAAAATATAAAAAAGTTGGTACCTGTGGCAGTGTACCTTTATCGCTGGCAGCATTACTCGCTGGATTGCGATACTTATTCGTTGAACGAAAGCACCTAGCTCTGGGGTCACCGGTACTATCTACCAGGCGCCAACTTAAATGTTAAAAAGCGCCTGTGCACTTGAATCTCTACTCCAAAGGGAGAGACTCTTATATTTGATCCGTTTATTATTTTCCGCCTATGGCTGCCACAGCTTTTTTGCTTGTCCGAGGGAGGTGAGACGGGGCTAACGTGTCCACACAAGTAGCATCCCATACTAAAGCCCACCCCATCCTCCAAGGGATCAACGACATCCCCTTCCGTCGCTAGCCATCGTCTCCAGCGATGCCTGTTGGCTCCAAAATTGCTGGAACATTGACGGAGGCAAGCGAGTCATTGATCCTTTGGAAGATGGGACGGGCTGACATAAAACTGCAATGTTATATAATATTAACCTGACACTAAAAAAATGCGTATTAACAAAAACTATTATTTAATACGATACAGGCGGTGAAGAAGGCATCTTAAACCGCTATAAAGAGGCTGGGGCAAGCGCAAATCAAGCAGCACGGAGCAGTATGCGCTGGCGGGGTATGGTCTTCTCGTTCGGGCAGACGGCGCCCGTAGCTGGGTATGCCCTGTCCCTGTGGTATGGAGGGGTTCTGGTTGCTAACAAGGAAGTGCCATATAAAGATGTTATCAAGTGAGTTTTTTATATGGTTGTCTACGACAACATTGCCGACATTTTTTTAAATTTTATTTATTTAATTGTGATTTTTATATTTTTATTTTATTTTTACTGTTATAATTTGACACTCGTTAATTTGAATCTCTAGATAATTTGATTTTTTCCGGTCTCTTGCAAAATTGTTGATAATAAAAAATTGTTAATACAATAATATAGAAATAATAATTCAAGAATTTTGATCACTCTTACTTACTTGAGTTATTTCAAGATTTAACCCAAAGAGGGTTAACGCTTGAAATAATAAATAACCTTTGGAAGAATCTTCATAGAATTCGCTTTCCGAATCAATCATAGTATCCGGCTATAATAATCATAACGTTTAAATTTTTAATATTTATATAGACAATAAGTTCTTACGTAAATTGTACATGTCTCTCTTATAAAAATGATAAGAAAACCATATTTAACATAATATCAGTTCATAGAAAAATGTATCATTTGGCATTGCTATAATCTGCGTAGAGCGTGTCCCTCTGTAAAAATATGGTTTTCATAATAAAACATACCTCATAATTTAGGACATTGATCTGTACTTTATTCCCCATTCGTGTTATTGGATTCTTAATTAATAAATCATTGGCGCCTTTTTAGGTCTGGGACTAAGATTTCTGTTTCTGTTTCATGATTATTTGTCAATCTATAATAAGCAAGTAGGCGATTAGCCTGTGCCTGACACACGTCGTCGACTGTTTAGGACTTCCAAGCCGGATTCCTCACGACGTTTTTTCCTTCACTGTTCGAGGGAATGTTAAATGTCCATTGCACAGCCGGGCATCGAACCTACGTCCTCAGGGATGAAAGTCGCACTCTGAAGTCACTAAGTCAACACTGTTTATATAAATTCTTAATAAATAATCTAAGATATTTTTCATTATCTTCTTTTGTCTTAAGAGTATCAGAAGCGCTGGTATTCGGGGCGTGGATGATGGGCCAAGCTCTGGCGTTTGCGCCGAACTTCGGTGCGGCCGTGTGCGCAGCTGGCAGAGTTATGACACTTATTGAGAGACGGCCTATAGTTGAAAGCACACATGCGCCCTCTGTACCTGAGAATTACGTGAGTTTTTCCTATATCAGTATACATGTCGCAGCCTAATAAAGCTTAATTAGCCATTCAATTAACAGCCTAGTCTTTTGACTAAACAGCGCCGTTTAACTAGCGGCCTGAAAGACGTTCAGCCAGTTGATCAAACAGCTAGGCAAATGTCTTGGTTGGATAATGTTTCATTACTTGCCTAGCTTGTTGACTATTAATTTAAATTTAATTCCACTTTCGGCCACTCTATATATTGACATATTATTTACCAGTATATGCTCGCAGAGTTAGTTCACAGTAGCGATATTGTGTATTTTATGTATTTAATATACACATATATATTTATTTTTTCGATATTATCGTATTGGTTTAGTGCTGTAAGGATAGTGTATATTTGGGAATAAATAAAACATTAATAATAGTCATTTTATATAACAAATATCTTATAATTTTAATTGTTATCGGATTAGATCAAGTCTAATATATACTATTAGAGCGTGTTAAGTAATAGGGAATATATTTTCAGATTTATATCATCAATAAATTTTCTTTATTGGCTCTTCTACTTGAATGACATTTCGCCAGTAATCCAAATGAATAATATTGTAAATTATTTCTGTAACAAAATTTGCTAACAAATTGTTCCATATTGCTTTTTTATAGGTGTAACTTATATCTATCTATCTAACCTTTTATTCTTTTCTAATCTTTATTTTTTTATTACGTCTATAGACTAATCAAATTCCACGCTAATAAACGTCAAACATTGAAATCATAGAAGTCTAAATTATAATAATGTAGAGGGCGCTTTCACAGTTAGCTATTTTATGAGACAAATCATTTATAAAACCTTTCAAATTTTATTTATTTTCAAAATATAGCTATTAACACGGTTTTGATATACAAAAAAGTAATTTTTGAATTTTTTGTCAACAAATTGTTTCGTTGTCCAAACAGGTAGCTCAGGGTAAAATCCAATACAAGAACATAAAGTTCCGTTACCCCACTCGCCGTGAAGTTGAAGTACTACGAGGTCTCTCATTAGTAATTCCAAGTGGAAAAAGGGTGGCCTTGGTGGGGCCTAGTGGGTGTGGAAAATCCACCCTTATGCAATTGCTTCAACGACTTTATGATCCGGATGACGGCACTGTTGTGAGTAAAGCCTGCGATTGAAATAGAGTGAAAATGGTGTTTGCTTATTCCAGTATATTCCACGTCACTAAATTTGAATCTGTAGGCATCCCTACTCATCGGCAAAGAAGAAAGAGGGACTCTCGGTACTCTTTTAAAATAGAAAATCACCAAACAACACTTATTTTAAAACAAAATCGCAAATTAATTAGAAGTAGCCTGTCGAGTACTAGTCCCAGGCCCTTTTGTTAACTAGCTAATCGTTAACTTTATAGTAAGCTTAAAGTAGATATAAAGATAGCCATTTACAGTATGTCTCGGGGATATTAAAAAAATATTAACAAGGGTTAAGTTCAGTTTAAAGACTGCTAAGTATGAGCTTCAGTATAATAGAAACTTATTGGATTTTGACAGAAGTCATACTTAGTCTCTCTATAATGACAACTATACTTTATTAGATACGGGGGGGAGTCTAATTTTGATTAAATAAACTATGAATAGCTTAAACAGTTTAGCTCGTACACTTTTTGTCATTACAATTTTTAAATAACAAGGGCCAAACAAGCAGAAGGCTCACCTGATGTTAAGAGATACTGCCGCCCATAGACACTCACAATTCACATGTATGACGCTTTGATGTTAATAAAGTTTTAGCTTAGGGTAGGTTCAGAGTCATGAGCGAACTATGAGTTCGGTCTGTCAAAGTACACTATTAAGTCATACTCAGGGTACCATTTCTTAAAAAGCCGGCAGCGCACTCGCGATCCCTCTGGCAATGAGTGTCTATGGGCGGCGGTATGTCTTAACATCAGGTGAGCCTTCTGCCCGTATGCCCCTTGTCTTATAAAAAAAATTGTTTTCAGTTTCTAGACGATTACAGTATCGTAAGTGACATGCGACTTTCAACCTTACGCGG